GACATCCACTGAATTGAACTGCCCACATGCCTAAATACTAATGGAATACTTATCTTACTTTTGGCCCAGATGCAACTTTCTGCTCGCTTCAGTGTTGTCTCACTTTTCCCACTTTTTGAGTGGCTTATAGATTTCCCCCTGCCCACCCCTTGGTTTTTGGTGGGGGTGCATCTTGGGTGGTTGCAGCACGTATGGAAGAGCCTTTCTGTAGAGTTGGTAGGTGCTGTGCTGGGTGTGGCAGTAGCATGCTTGCTAGGGGAGAAGACCTGATTCTGTTTCACTCATTGCGACCTTTCAACGGAACAAATTTTAGCGAGCTTATTTAAGCTCTAACGTATCCCTATTTTGCACTTACAACTTTGCAAAGCTGCTGGAAGAAAGGGGAGAGCTGGAAAAGAGTGCATTTCCTAACAGTAGTATCTCCAGACAACAGTTAATGATTTTATTCTGTTCTGGTGTGAATTTCCTTGTCTGGTGTTGGTTGTTGATCATGACGTGGGTCTGTGACAATGTGTAAAGTGACAGGAGAAGCAGAAAGGAGTATTTGGAGAGCTGTTGAGGATATGAAAGATTCGGGAAAAGGAAAGAAACTGTGTAAAGCTGCGGGATATTGTTCTTAGTTGGGAGAAGTGCTCCAATCTGACACTGGGTTCTTATGCTGCAGTCTGTCAGGGACCCAAACTGAAACTGGGGAACACACAATATTAGATGAAGCTTAAAACTGGGTGGAATTTATCTCTTAACTTCAAGCATTTTGTGTAAATTCAGTTGTTTGACATGGCATTTTTACTGTAATTTGAGCTTTCTATTTATTCTTCTAGGAAGGTTAACTATTGCTGAAAATGGCTTTTAGCAACAGTTTCCCCTTGAAGTGGTATTGAAGTAATTAAGTGTTTGCAGTAACAGTACTTGCTGTTTCGGAAAGCTTGCCTTACAAAGTCTCAAGCATGCTTCCTGAAATGGGACTGAAATTCTTCTGGCTCCACTATAACATTTCAGTACTGATTCAAGGAGGAAACCATTAGTGGAAACCTCTTCTCGGTAATGCCTTAGCTTTGTTGTACATGATGAAAGTTTCATGTTGACATGAATTGTTTTGAGTAGTAGAGCTGGGTTAAGCTTCACTTCTTGGCATTATTATGCTTACTTGATTCTCATTGCTGCTGAAACTCCGGCTGATTTGTAAAACCAGACACATGCTTTCAGATTAAGTTTTAAGGTTTCTCTCGCTTTATGCTGTGCATGCATTCCTGGAAAATAGCACATAACTCTGAATTCACACTTTGCAATGCAACAAATAAGGGTATCTCCTAAGACGTCAACTGTACTGACCCCCAGACCCATTTCTACCAGTTTTGCAAGACCATTTTGGTACTTGCCAACAGTAGACAGTACACATGAGCACAGCTGCAGCTCCAGAAACATGGGCACCAGATGCCCTGAGTGGCAACTGCGGGTGCTGCTGCCAGGTGGCTTCATGGCTCACAGCTCCTGGGGCGCCACGCTGATGGGACCAGGCCATGCTGCAGGGGCTGGGGCTGCAGCCCGGCCCAGGCACCACCACCTGCCTCAGCCCCTCCCACCCCCCCAATACTTTTTTCTTCCTCCGCCTATGGCGTCACTCCTACAACGTACTGCACAAAGCAGCTGACTGCGGGCTTCACCACACCGATCGCATAAGAGTGAATTTACCTTGCATATAACAAATTTTTGGTATAAAACCAATCATCACATAAAAGAGCGAATTCACACACACAGAACCCATGGAAAGTGAGGGAAACCTGTAGTGTTGTCTTACTAGATGAAGTATCTATACCAGCAAAAAATGCTTATCATCCAGGAATGTGCACTGGACAGTCCATTGCTTCCTGTGTTGAAGGGGTTTATGCCTTCCAAAATCCATCCTTTTTGCAGGGGGAGGGAGGGCTCACACTTCAAAGTAATCCTTTCTATTTCCATAACCAAATAAAACAATTGCTGAGAATTCGGTGCAAACCAGCCCCTGTCCTAGGCAGTTCTGACTGCAGGCGGGCTTCCAGCAGAGAAGCCAAGAAACGGGCGTGTAAGTGGAGTTATTCTTGTAGGTTTACATAAGTACCAACCAGACTCTTATAGAAACAACCCATTATTCCGCCTTCCAGGCAGTTGATAAGCCGTAGTTCCTGCTGTTTGATAGGGTTGCTGCTATTAGCTATAAACATGCTACTTCTGGCAACAGCCTATAATTTAACAATATTCTTGATTACAGGTGGCCACTGCACAGTACTCTTTATCGTATGAATAAACATAAAGGGTAGTGTCTAATACCACAACAGCTTGCAAACGTGTATTTTTCTCTTCCTGTACCATTTCCAGGACATACAGATAACTAACTACGTTTGTGCTAATGGAGCAAAAAGAGCTAGTTTCAATCTCTGCTGCAGAGAGCTGTTGCCTTACCCATGTCAAGTGCAGTTGGGGATGATGTTAGCTTGAAGATGTGTACCGCTTCCTTCTCCTGCTAAAGGAATTTGCCTTTGAGATCCATGTACTTATTGCACTTTGGCTTTGACAGAGCATAGTATTAATTCTAGTTTCTCCTAATTAAATACAAATGAATGAATATGGATATGCTTTGTTCTTCATTTTACTTCTCACTGAGGGCTGAGAGCAGTTGTTACCTTAGCACAGGTATGCTAAGGTAACAGACTTTGGCACAAGATAAGAAGCTATGGGGTGGGGGGTGGAGGGGAGATGAGGCTGGAAACTAATCCAGGTTACAGAAAGGCACTTCACAGACTGTGATTATCTTAAACTATCCGTGTGCATTCTGCTGGCAGAAATAGGGAGACTGCCCCAAGGTGGAATAGGTTGCTCATTTAAACGGGCAGTTCAAAAATCCTGCTTCTTCCCTTGTCCTGACGTGTAACAAAGATATTAAAAAAATTCAGCACTACATTCTGATTGATATACTTGCTCTCTTGCCTGTCTGAGCAGGTACATGCTTGTGTCATCCCATATCCCTATGGGTCAGGGCTGATGAGCCTTACAGCAAGCTGCAGTCTGGGTTGCATAGCTGTGAATTTTAGAGTTAAAAGAACGAGGGTTGGGGTTGAAAATGATATTTATCATGGGATTTTATTTTGACTGGTGCAGAGACCATATGGTCAGAGAGCAACTCAAGTCCTTACAGAGGTCTCCCCCCAAAAACTGGCAGCTCCTTCACCAATGAGACAGCTTGTGTTTTTATTAAGAAAAAGAGAAAACACCCCATCAGTAAATATATTTCCATAAAAAAAACCTTAAATTTTTGTGGCTCATCCAGTCACCTGACACTGTCTTATACATGTGACAGTGTCTCTACAGCAACCATCTCTAATGTCACTGATGGCTGAAGTCATAACAAATCTGTCTTGGGAAGACTGAATTGATCTTGCTTTTGTGAAATGTATTTAGTCCCCTATGCAAGGGAAGTAGCTGTAAAATGCACAGTTATTCCTAACCAACACTGTCTTCAGTGTTTTCACTGGGCAATCAGCTGTTCTCCAGTGGATCTTGACCTGGAGAAAGGTACCTCCTGGCTGGAGGAAAAGCAGAGACCAAGTGACCTTGAGGCGGTAACCTTGCTTTAGCCATCAGTCTCCGATACTCTTTAGTTAAGTGTGGGAACAGAGAGGAAGGGCTGTCCCTGCACGCTGTAGTTTAATTCTGTGTTTTCTGTTAACAGGGTGACCTTGTCCTCCACGGACTGTTACATTGTGCATGAAATCTACAACGGCGAGAACGCTCAGGACCAGTTTGAGTATGAGCTGGAGCAAGCCCTGGAAGCACAGTACAAATACATAGTGATAGAGCCCACTCGCATCGGTGACGAGACCGCCCGCTGGATCACTGTGGGGAACTGCCTGCATAAGACGGCTGTCCTCGCGGGCACTGCCTGTCTCTTCACCCCTCTGGCACTTCCAGGAGATTATTCCCACTACATCTCCCTGCCTGCCGGCGTGCTGAGCATGGCCTGCTGCACCCTTTACGGTATCTCCTGGCAGTTTGACCCCTGCTGCAAGTACCAAGTGGAGTACGACGCCTATAAACTCTCCCGCCTGCCCCTGCATACACTCACCTCCTCCACTCCTGTGGTGCTGGTGAGGAAGGACGACCTGCACAGAAAAAGACTGCATAACACGATAGCGCTCGCTGCCCTGGTGTACTGTGTAAAGAAGGTCTATGAACTCTACGCTGTATGACTTCCATAGGGAAATGAGAAACCCACAAAGACAAGTGTATTAAGACTCCTGCAGTAACATTTTGTTTTTCCTCTGAGACGTGGTCAAGACTGGGAAGCAGTTGGTTTAATAGAGCTGTTATTTTTCAGATAACACATCACTGGCGCACCAAGGTTTTTCAGTTCTTCATTACACTTGAGATGTGGATCTGCAGTGACTTGAGCGCTGTATGTTAGGCCCTGGGAGTCTGATCCAGCAGTGGAATTTCAAATGAAAGCTATATAAAAAGGGGGTGTGAGAGCTTTTTTTTTCTTTTTTTTTTTTCTTTTTTTTTTTTTTTTTTTTTTTGGAAACATTTAAGTATATTGTTTAATTGTACTACACAGAACCAGCCAGAAGTTATCATTGACCATTAAAGATGAGAATTTCAAATGCTTTTGCTTTCTCTTTACTATTCAAGTGGCTCCTCTTACACCGGCTGCCTCAGGGGAAAGGGGAGCTTGAACCCCTTTGCAGTGGGAGCCACAGTAATTTATGGTTTTTTCGGGGGGGGATTGTTTTGTTTGGTTTTTTTTATATTGTATGTACACATTTAGATGCTAGCGGGCAATATGGTATCTCTTTGATGGTTGATGGATCGTGTTGACGCACAGGATGACAACAATAAATGTGTGGCTTGTTTCCAATATGCATCATTTGCCCACTGACGCTGTGGGTGAAAACTGCCCTACAGCTGCTGGCCTGCCTGGTCACTTCACTCCAGTGCTCAGTGGCACCATCTC